GTGCATCCTCTACAAGCGGTTGTGCTTTTGTGTACTTTCCTGTACAGTACTGTATAGAGTACAGTAGCACAGTGTCTTTATTTCTTGCCTCTTCCCTCGATGCCAGCCCCTGGATGCCAGCTGTTGTACTCGACTACTGTACTTTTCAAGGTACTGCACTGTAAGATTAAACATGTTGTTTATTTTTAGTGTTTGTTTGTTTTCTATGTATTATTTGTGGAAAGTATTATAAACCTATTACAGTACAGTACCATATAGCCGACTGTGTTAGCTGGGTACCTAGGCTAACTCTGCTGGGCTTAACAAACAAATTGGACTTACTAACATGCTCTCGGAACAGAACTCATTCATATGTAGGGGACTTATTGTACTGGGAGAGTTAGTTGTCTAGAGGAGGCCAGACCAGAGCAGGGAAAGGAGTTCTGAGCGGTACTTTGTAACCCCCAATTTAGCCTCCATCCTCCAGGGATACGATATAGTCCTGTTAGTAAAGGTGGCGTCTTACAGCAGTCAGAAAGAGATGCAAAGGTAGGAAGCTAAGACCTAGATGGGATGGAACTTTAAAGGGAAAATGACACAAAACAACAAAAACATCCGGGCCAAATTTCCCTGACAGTCATAGCTTTTTTTATTGCAAAACAAAATTATCTCCTACTGATTACTTAGTGCTTAGTAGGCCTGAGGTAAGCAACGCAGTAAACTAGTCCGACAACCTCATTTTAAAAGTAAGAGTTGGGGCTTCCCTGGTGGCGCAGTGGTTTAGAGTCCGCCTGCCGATGCAGGGGACACGGGTTTGTGCCCCAGTCTGGGAGGATCCCACAGGCCGCGGAGCGGCTAGGCCCGTGAGCCGTGGCCGCTGAGCCTGCGCATCTGGAGCCTGTGCTCCGCAATGGGAGAGGCCACAACAGTGAGAGGCCCGTGTACCGCAAAAAAAAAAAAAATTAAAAAAATAAGAGTTGAAATCCAGACTGAACAACCTGTGAGAAGTCACACAGCCAGGTGACAACTCAGAAACAGCCTGCGCCCATTTTTGAAGGTCCCCAAAGTCCTTGAGATGGCTACCAAGGTAATGTGATTATGGAGAGGAGGGTTGAGGACAGGAGGCATCTCAGCTCCTGAATTCTGCTGCTGGGGCCCTCAGGGCAGAGGCAGGTCTCATTTCCTTCCTAAACCACCTGGCATATGGTTATTCGCTCCTCTACAAAATGACACGCCCTGGAGACTCTCTGAACTCCAGGAGTCCTGGACCACAGCTGCCCTGTCACAAAAGTCACATCACAACACTCTCGCTTTAGCGTTCACCTCAGTTACAGGAACTGTCAACTGACCAAACGCTGGAAGTGAGAAAGGTGACAATCAGGGGGCAATCAAATGACTTGCAGTCCCTTCTGTGCATCAGTGGAGTGCCCTACGGGGCGGGTGCCAGCTGATACCAGCTCAGGAGAGACCCCTGTGCGCACCTCTTCCCAACACCACCTTCAGTGAGGTCAGCTTGGTACCTTAAAATCTGCCATGGCAGGAGTATTTACACTATGGGAAACGGAAAAAGCTGCAAAGGAGTTGTTCCATTCTGTTTTTTGTTTTTTTTTCTGAGAGCCAGTTATTAAACATTTACCAGCTTATCATTGGTAACTGGTGACCATGTTAGTGTGTCTGAGCTTTTGGTGCTCAGAAAGCAGAAACAGAACCTCCTAATTCTTTGGAGAAGAAACAGCACTGCGTCCTGCACAAATAGGTATTTATTGCTCTCTGAAAGGAATACTTAACATTTCCTACAATGCTTCAAGTTTTCAGAGTTTCTAATTTGCCTTCTGGAAAAAAAACATATCACTGTCAGCATGAACCCTGAATCTCATCCAATTTTGCATCCTCAAAGACTTGACTCCATAAATGTATCCCTCTCTCTTTTCTGGCATTCTTTCAACACATACCCATTCCCAAGTGTCACTCACCACTTCTTTTGATTTTGTAAAAGACTGTCTCGGGCTTCCCTGGTGGCTCAGTGGTTAAGAATCCGCCTGCCAATGCAGGAGACACGGGTTCGAACCCTGGTCCAGGAGGATCCCAAGTGCCGCGGAGCAACTAAGCCCGTGCGCCGCAACTACTGAGCCCACGTGTCACAACTACTGAGCCCGTGTGCCACAACTACTGAAGCCCACGCCTCTAGAGCCCTGCTCTGCAACAAGAGAAGCCACTGCAATGAGAAGCCCACGCACTGCAACGAAGCATAGCCCCCGCTCACCGCAACTAGAGAAAACCCATGCACAGCAACGAAGACCCAACGCAGCCAAAAGTAAATTAATTAATTAATTAAATTAAAAAAGAAAAAAAAAAGAAGACTGTCTCTCAACTCTCCACTGCCCTTCCCTTCAGAGCCAAACCTTTTCAAAGGTGCTTGAATCCTCCAGCTCCACCCAGACTTCCACCCACTTCTCCACACCCCACACCACACCATTCTAAGGTCACACATGACAGAGGAACCAAATCAACTGGTTCCTCAGTCCTTACTCTGACCCAGTGAAACTCCCTCCTCCGTAACTACCTGGCAATCTGAGGCACCCTTCCCTGTGGTTTGCCTTCTACCTCTATGCCTGCTCCTTCTCTGTACACAGGGCTCCTTCTCCTGTCCTGAAATATCCATGTAAGTGCATAAGACCCACCAACTGTCAACTACAGTTTCCTCTCGGGAGTCAAGTAATATAGGGGTATAAAGGGTTTCAAATTTTTACTCTGTAAGACATAAATTGTTTGAATGTTCCATAAAAAATGAACTTATACAATTGTTTTTTAAGTTAAGTGACCCTAAAGTTTCATTCTGGTCTATAAACCACCACTCACAGTCCACTGTCAACATGGGCCCATGGGCATTAGCTGCCACCTGCATGCTGCCCTCTCTCAAATCTGCTCTAGTCCTGGTGACTCTAACAAGCTCCAGGTTTGAACACTCAAAAGTCTAAAAGCCATCTCCATCCGGATCTTCCCCACACACTGCAAACTCAACACTTCACCACACCTCTGCTGTACTCCCTCCAGCTCAGGGCAGGGACCATCAGCATGAAAACACAAATCAAAAGCCTGCGGCTGGGCTTCCCTGGTGGTGCAGTGGTTGAGAGTCTGCCTGCCGATGCAGGGGACACCGGTTCGTGCCCTGGTCCGGGAAGATCCCACATGCCGCGGGAAGATCCTGAGCCTGCGCGTCTGGAGCCTGTGCTCCGCAATGGGAGAGGCCACAACAGTGAGAGGCCCGCGTACCCCAAAAAAAAAAAAAAAAAAAAAAAGCCTGCGACCTCCTGGACTCTTCTTAAACCCTCCACCTAGTCAGTCATGCTGACTCTAGGTCCAAATTCCCCCTCAAATCTAGTCCCTCCTCTATTTTTTTTTTTTTAGAAGATGTTGGGGGTAGGAGTTTATTAATTAATTTATTTATTTTTGCTGTGTTGGGTCTTCGTTTCTGTGTGAGGGCTTTCTCTAGTTGTGGCAAGCGGGAGCCACTCTTCATCACGGTGCACGGGCCTCTCACTATCGTGGCCTCTCTTGTTGCAGAGCACAGGCTCCAGATGCGCAGGCTCAGTAGTTGTGGCTCACGGGCCTAGTTGCTCTGCGGCATGTGGGATCCTCCCAGACCAGGGCTTGAACCCGTGTCCCCTGCATTAGCAGGCAGATTCTCAACCACTGCGCCACCACGGAAGCCCTCTAGTCCCTCTTCTTGATCCCCAAGCCACTTCTTTAACTCAGGCCCTAATTTCTCATTTACATTGGGGCAAAACCCAAATTGGTCTCCCTGGGTATAATCTCCCATCTCTTCCAATTTATCCCCCAAACCATAACCAGAAAAATATTATTAAAATACAAATTGAAACACATCATCCTTCCAACTAAGGCCCCTCCACAAATCCCTAGTCACCATTTCTACTTCCCCAACTGGTTATCATAGCACTGAAGATAAAATTGCAACAGAATTCAAAGCTGTTTGGGATCTTTTTCCACCAGTAGTTCTCATATTCCAGTCAGGCTAAACAACCTTAAGTTCCTGAGAAAGTTCCATTTTCACTGTTTGCCAAAGGTCACCTTTGCTAAGGAGCCTTCTTGGAATGGCTCCTTCCTCCTGAAGGCTGGGCATGGATGCCCGATGTTTTCCATGACACCTACCTAATCATGGTACTTACTACACTACTGTAATAGTCAACTTGTCAGTTTACTACAAGCTTCTGAAGACAAAATGTCTCACTTCTGTACCTGTTCTGCCTGACACTTGGGGGAGGGCTGACTGAATAAATATTCATAAATCTCAGTCTTGAAAGGGACCTCAGAATTAATTCTGCTTCTTCCTCCATGCCTTTATCGAATGTCTGTTACCCTGGGTAACCCCCTTGCTAAATGAATGTCCAGCCTCTTGAACACCTCTTGTGATGGGGAAATCACTACCAAACACTGATGCCCAACAAGGCCTCCTGCTGCACATGAAGGCACAGTTCACTACAAAGAGCTCATGGCTCACAGTCTGCTGACACGTCATCCAACAGGAAGTTCAAGGCCCTGCTGTGGCCATGGCTGGAAGCTGGCTTCCAGACTGTCACAGGTCTCAGAAACACCCGGCGAAAGGAACACTGGCAGGATAGCTGCTAGAAATGAGACTGGGAAGAAGGGCCTTGTGCCCAGCAAAGAGGAGGCACACGTGCCTAAGGTTGATGCCCACGAGACAACTGGCACCCAGGGTGGGCACCTTCAACCAAACGGAGAAGCTAAGTCTGCTCAGACTTAAATCCTAGCCAGACACAATTTTACCAATGCTAAACATTTAACCTTTTGGAAAAGAGCTCTTTAAAAACAATAAAGTTGGAAGACTTTCATAGAGTTAACACAGCTGGGATTTCCCCAAGCTCTGTCTGCCCTAGCTGTGCCTTCAACGTTTAGGCTCCAGAACTGCCACACTGCAAAGAGAGAAGTCTAACGGCACCATTTTGCCCTAATTCCAAGAGAGTCTAAGAGAACAGAGAAAATATGATTAGAATCAATGATTTTATTGAGGGAGATAAGTTACTCAAATGTCAACGGGCTGTAGGCAAAGGGAACAAACACGTTAGAAGTCTCAGGTGCGGTGGAAGAGTAGAGAGAGTACTAACAGCTCTGCCCAACCAACATTCCGGATCCAGGGCTTCCACACTTCTCCAAGGCTCAATTTCTCATGGGTCACTTTCCATTCAAAGGATTCTGAAGACCAAATGCAACGGGATTCCTTCAACTACCACCCAAGAGTCTTTGGGTCTTCTCTCAGCCAAGGCATCCAATGAAAGTATGATCTATTTTTCAGATTCCTCTGGAGGATTAAAAAGTCTCTTTCGCATTGCATTGCCACGCTCCCTGCTCTTGTTCCTCTTTTCCATGTACTAGAAAATAAAAGGAAGGGGGGGAGAAGAGAGACAATAGATTACGTCATCATTTACATACGTTAAATATTTAGATATATTTGCAAAATAAAAATAACATTTTTACTGACAAAATTTCTACACGGCTCTTATTTCACTGAATCTGAGATTGGAAACAGTGACCTTAGAGGCCATTTAGTAAAATTTCATTCAATACAGTACAGCAACTAACTCCTAATAGGTGCAGAAATATTTGCTGAGTTAATTTCCTCCCAAAATGTGAATTCAATAAATATTTAGGATGGATGAGTCCTGTCCCTGTTCTCCAGAAGCTCACAATCTAGCGTGTCATCTAACCTCTACTTGAACACTTCTTAATCAGGAGGCTCCCTACCCTGAGAGGCAGCCTGTTTAACTGCTGGACACTTCTACTTGTTCCAGAGCTTCTCGTGTTGAACCAAGTGTTTCCCTGTAAATTCTCCTACTTCCCTCTATTTCTCCTTGCCTGCTACAATCTTCCAAATATCTGATTACAGGTAACCCACTCACTATCTCTTTTACAGGCTGAACGCTGCTGGTTTCTACAACTGTTCCACAGAACATAGCTTCTGCCTTCTAAAGTCTTATCTGTAAAGTGCCTTTTATACAACACTTTAATATGAATAACCCCTTATAAAAAAATACCACACCAGAATTAAATACTCTAGTGCTCTAAACAAAGTCCGGCAGATATGGACTACAGTGGGCCTTCTAGTTCTTATGACCTAAACACACCACATTTCTATAAATATTGCCAAAAGAGTAACTGGCTGTTAGTAACCATATTATCCTAATGGTTCATATGGAAACTTATAGTCAGCTGAACTTCCTAGGATTTTTTCATCATGAATAGTCATCAAACCCAATTCTCCCCAAATCTTATGTTTCTGTAATCGGTTGGATCTAAATGTAGTTTTCACCTTGGAGGATTTTAGCCTAGTATTCTGATCTGGCCAGCAGGTTATAACTAACAGGAAACCCAGAGCCTGGCACTAGAAAAAGTACTTGTTTAAAGCAGAGAAACTTGAATGTAAGTGGTTTCATACGTGTATATTTACATGCTTATAATATATACACCAATAAAGACATATTTTAAAGGTGCAGAGTGGAAAAAAAGGAAAAGCAAATTCAAGTTGAAAAAACTGAGTATATGTGAATAATTGGACATCAAAATCTTTCAGCTGTCAGAGATATGGAAAGAAGCCACAGGAGCAAAAGATTAGTGACAGAGCACTAACCAGGGACTCTGGCTGCCCTCCCCTGAGTCCTGAGATTAACACCTTGGAGTTACTTCATCTTCTGGGCCAGTAAGCTCAAATGTAAGGAGTTGGGCTAGATAATCTTTAAGAAGTTTTCTAGGTCTAAAGTTTTGACTAAAGAGTTCTAACATATCTTCTGGAATAGTAGCAGTTTTCAAACTTTTTTTTTCCTCATCAAAGGGCCATTTCAAATAACAGATGAAACACCAGGTCCCTTTAACCAAAACATTCCTTTTATCCGTCATACATTAATTTTCTTCATAAGACTGTCGGTGGGGAGAGGGGAAGGGCGTTTCATTGCTTTAAAAGGTTAAAAAAAAAAAAAACGTTGTAGAACATGGAGGGATACCTGCTCTGAGAAAAATATTTGATATCCCTCTTTAATCATATGAAGCCTCCAACAATCAGGTTCAAAGGAGGGTATAATGGGTAAGTCTTCAGAAGACAATACTCTGTAGCAGGCCAATAAAATAAGTCATAAAGCAAATTAAAACAGAGTCTATATTAAAATACATGTTACGGTATCTCCAAAGGGAGTCAACATGGCCCCTGAATAAAAGAAGAAAAAAAAAGGATAACTATAATGTTATTCACAAAACACCACCAAACAACGCAGATAGCATGGAAGGTCAATTAGCCAAAAACCAAACCAAACAAAACAAGTAAGAGAGACAAAAGAGGATGCTGCAAAAGTAGTATTAGCGATTATTTCAATAAAAAGAACAAAAGCAGCAACAAAGCAGCAAAGAGAGCATCAGAAAGAACTGGCCGGACCTTTCTTCTAGTTAAAGCTTCAAAGAATGAAGTACTTAAATGACACATGAAGGAAATGGTAGGAGGAGAGCATTAGAAGCAGTAAATGGGAAACTGGGAAGCATTAAAAGCAGAGAGGAAATAAATGAGCACAGGTTCGGAGAATTGAAGGATGAAAGAACAGACAGAAAAACATCTATAAATCAGGTAATGAAGCAATATAAAAAACTACATAGAGGACTTAGAAAGCAGTCAAGGAGAAAACCTGACATTTATATGAAAACAGACTCAGACAAAATAAAAAAAATATCTACAGATTCTTCTACCAAATAGGAAAAAAAAAATTTCATATGAGGATCTAATCACCAAACCAATGGCAAAATCACTGAAATGTAAGGGAAAAAAAAAATCTAAACTTAGGAAAAAAGCTATCTTATACAACTGAAAGCATGTAAGAAACAAACAGCTATACCAAATAAAACACTATGGGTTTTATTTTTCCATAATCTTACTAAAACAGGAACACAGCCCTAGGTTTAGTTTCCATATAAACTACCATTTACATATGATGAAAAAACTCTTTTCAAAAACCAGTTTAAAACACTTATACCCATTTGTTCACACAAAGAAAATTATCAGAACTCCAGGAAGTTTTTCAAACAGGAAAGATGCTGTAAAGGGATTCCAGGAAGGGCGGGGTGGCGGGGGGAGAGCCCCAAAGTGGAAAACACAAAAACTGATTCATAGATGCTGAATGGCTTCAAATATCATATCTAATACCTTTCAATATGAGGCTCATAGGGGAAAAAACGTTCAAGAGTACAGAAAACGCAAATTGGAGAGCAGATTTTTAGTAGGTATATATTTTTAAAGGTTCTGGACCTAAAATATCTGATGAACAAAACAGAAATGGAATTAAATTTCTTTTCAAAGATTTAAAATGCACTCTGTTCAGTTTGCAGTACCTGCAAAAAGACAATAAACTTTGGCCATTTGCCCAAGTCCAAGTCATAGCCTAAAACTCTATTCAGGAAACGAGTCTTTCCAAACAAGTCAAACTAGATCCCTACGGGTTGTACATACTATAATTATAAAGAAATTCAAAATTTTAAAGCTGCAGAGCCTAAGTCTAGCCTCCTCGTGTTATACAAGGAAACTGAGGCCCAGAGAGTTTTAGTTACCTGCTATAGCTAAACACTGACTGACAAGTCTTTCTGCTGAACAGCTTCAATGTCCTAAACCTTAAAAATCCATCCAAAGGAGTTACAGTGACTATTATAAGATAGTTGTTTTCATTTATGTACATGCAAAAGAAAATCAGCAATGTCCCCAAACTGTCCCCAGAAGACAGTTTCATTTCTCCTCTTGGTTTTAGGGGAAGACATACATATAAAGTCAACTTTTGGTGTTATACAAAAATTTGCAAAAAACTTAATATTGTTCCAAGATGTTCTTTTCTATTGTTCAACTATTTCCATCCTTTAACATTTTCCTTACCTCATTCTTCAAGCATTTTCTCATCTCCCGATCAAGATCATTGCAATGACCAAAAAATTTCAGAATGCTGTGCTAAAAGAAGAAAAGGTGTAAAATATTTCATCCCATAATATGCTAAGGTCTCTGGCACACAGAATTGAAACACTTATTCCTACAGAAATGGGTTTAATGGGTCACCTTGTCAATAGGCAAACAGTTAATAGTTAAGCAAATAGTTAAGTCACAAGTATTCTGGCATTCCTACAAAAGAGGAATAAATGCTCTATAGGTAGAAATGAAAAATAAAAAGACTTTTCTTTGATAAAAGAGAAGACTATTAACCTGCCAAAACCTCATAATGACCGAGTGAAAAGCATTTTATTACCTAATACCCTTTCTTTAAGGGCATGTTATCCATCCTCTATTATAGAGCGATGTCAAAGTGCAGTATAGCCATATTGACACGACCAGTAACTTCCTTCACCAGCAAACACTCCTGTCCCATAGAAGAGTTACTTATGGAAAGCTTGGTGCCAAAGCCATTCTCTCATTTGCCTCCATTCAAAATGTCATCAAAATAAATTAGAAACACATAACACTATTATTAGACGGCCTGTAAGGGCCACATAACCAAGCCAGTAATTCACAATATAGGAAAATCAATGTCTGAATTCAAAGTCTGCTTTGTTTGAAAAGCAAAAATAAAAATCTTCTAGTGGTTTCAAGTCCTGTGACTATTATCATGGCAAAAAGTATATATGCTCCAAAGCAGATAAAGACTGACATCAAGAACCTGAATTTTAGTAGGGCCATAATTACTGTGTTTGCACGTCACGATTTTTATGGGTAGGTCGGACAGCATGGTGATCTCCTATAATGACATGCCATAAATGCTGAACTTGTAACAGTAAGCACATCTTTTCCTTTTCTTTCTAATTAAGACTTTCATGGAAACCAGACAACACATAATTAGTAATAGTCATGCTACTTCTTTTTTCCCTGTTTCTTCACCACTTTAAATGTACTTTTCTGGTCCACATTGAATAAATGGTCAGAGTTTTTCTGGCAAGCATTTAAGATCTCCTACTGATTACCTAATTACCTTTTCAGGATAAATATTTCCTGTGTATAAACTACCTCCTTGACAACAAACAGGGACAATGCTTTTTCACACACCTTCTGGCCAAAGAGAAATACCAGAAAGGGTTAAACTTTTAGAATGTAAGGCAATATTTCATAGTTTAGTTTATATTTATTCATATCATCCCATACACATACATCTTATTTTAAAAATTCAAGACAAAAACTAATTTATATTTTCACTTTCACCTCAACATTAGCCCAAATGAGAATTATACTCTTGTGACATTATGTGAAAAACAAACCCAAAACACCCCAGTGGAGTTGGTAAAAGAAATGCCCATGGACTGCACTTCTCTTGTATACACGTGCATAAGCCTCCAGTGCCTGGTGTCTGTTTATAGAGAACAAACTGGTAGAGCAACTGATTGAATAAGTGAATCAATTAGTCAGTGTCTGGAAGACAGTGTCCCAGGCACTAGGGACACAACAGTGAGCAAGGTGGACCTGGGCCCTACTCTCATAGCTCAGAGTCAGAGGAAAGAGACAAATCGTGAAGTGATTGCTATAAAGCAGCGGTTCTCAAAGTGTAGTCCCCAGAGCTACCCAAGACCTTTCCAGGGGAAGGTAAAATCTATCTTCCTAATAATTGAAGATCTTATTTGCTTTGCTCACTTTCATTCTCTCACAGTGGATTTTTCCAGAGTCTACATGAAGTGTAATATCACCACAGATTGAGTGCAGAGACAGATATGAGAATCCAGCTGTATTCTATTAAACTAAACATTAAAGAGAACTGCAAAAATGCAAAAGCAATGTCACTCTTCCCACCGTTTTTTTGTTTTGGAAAATAAGGTCTTTTTTATGAAAAATAACTATTAACATTGTAATGGGTTTATTATTATAATTTTTAAATAAATTAGTATTTTTCAATTTCTCACTTTTAATTTCTAATTCACTAAATATTGGTAGATATAGTCCACATAAACAAAAGTTCTTTGGGGTCCTCAGTAACTTTTAAGAGTGTGCAGGAGTCCTGAGACCAAAAAAGTGTAAGAGTAACTGCCATAACGTAGGAAATCTATTATGTACAGTATTACTGGAGTACAGAGAATCCGGGTCAGGAAAGAAAAGGAAGAGGAAATGACAAATTAAGCAGAATAAAGCCTGGAGGATGATAAAACCTGATCAAGCAAATGAGAAGTTGAGACAGTGAGGAAGGCTCTAAGTTAAGCATAGGAAAAAAGCAAGTAAAAAGGCTTAGAAGACAAAAACATGCTCCAGTACAACTGCAGACAAGAACACGCAGGAAGGATGAGGGGCGCGAGGGCGGGGGGTGGGGTGTGTAGTCAAGCCCAAGAGTAAGTAGGGGCCAGTACATGAAGGCCTCGAAACACAAAGAAATTTTAGAGTTTATTCTACAGGCAAAGGGAGCCATTAAGGGGAACAGTGATTAAACTTACGTCTGAGAGAGCACTCCAGATAGAGCATGGAAAGTGAATTGGGACAGAAAAGAGGACAAAACAGTCATGGGACCAGGTGGCCCCAGTAAGATAATGTTGGAATCAACTGATGTTAAGAACAGACATATAAATCAGTGGAACAGACTAGAGAGCCCAGAAGTACACCCATTCACATATGGTCAGCTGATTTTTGACAAAGGCACCAAGGTAATTTAGTGGGGAAAGGACAGTCTCTTCAACAAATGGTGCTGGAATAACTGGGTATCCACAGGGAGAGAAATAAACCTTGACTCATACCTCACACCATACACAAAAATTAACTTGAATCACAGACCTAAATTTTAAAAGCTAAAACTATAAAACTTCTAGAAGAAAAAATAGGAGAAAATCTTTGTGACCAGGAAATATACAAAGATCCTTAGAACACAAAAAACATAAACAATAAAAGAAAAAACTGGTAAATTAGACTTCATCAAACTTACAAACGGCCCTTTGTAACACATCTTTAAGAAAATAAAAAAGGATGCCACAGACTGGGAGAAAATATTCACAATACACTTATGAGACACAGGACTTGTATGCCAAATGATAAAAAGAATTCTTACAACTCAATAACAAGACAAAACAACCCAATTTTAAAATATGGGCAAAAGACGTTATATGAATGGCCAATAAGTACATGAAAATATGCTTAAAGTCATCAGCCCCCAGGGAAACACAATTTAAAACCAAATAACATACTATGACACATCCATAGAATGGCTAAAGTTAAAAAGACTTACAATATCAATTCTTATTAGTTATCTATTTTATACATATTAGTGAATATATGTCAATCCCACAGTATCAATTCTTAATCTAGATGTATGGCACAAATAGTTTACCGAAAAGCATATTGTCATCAACAACATTCTTTGAACCAGTATAAATACCTGACTTCACAGGTCATCGGCATTCCTTACTACCTTACTTTTAGTCTTAAAATTTTACTCATTTAAATAATACTATTATTGGAATCTGATATATCTACAGTTTATGAATAACATGAAGGAAATAATGCATCATGCAAAGTTAAAGAAAAACACAAATGCTCCTTATAACTGTCTCATACAGCAAATACATGAAAAAAGCTAAATAGTTGACATTGGGAAAAATATCAGATTAATTTAACGCATTCCAAAAATGGGCTTATTTTCTATTTTGGTTTTAACCATGGAATTTTATTTCCATTCCACTAACAACTAAGTAAACCTGTCAAATTAGGCCAGTCATAATTTAAATCTAGTTAACATATAATTATAAAAAATGTTTCAACTTCCTTTAAACACAGAACTGTAGAAGTCAAGGAACATGGAACAGGGATTCTAATTACTATATATCATTTCAGAAGCTCCCTAATAAACTACCATGCTTGATTTCTACTCATCATAAAGGGAAATGGTTTCTAAAAAGATCACAAGCATCAATCTTTACTAAGCTAAGACCCATAACTAAGACATTATCATTTCCTTCCATTAATGGAGATAACGTTTTACATCGGTGTGCTGTACCTAGGTTTCATTTTTGCTTTATGGTCATTTTCTGAACTCTTACATTTTTGTGACATTCCTTAAGCAAGTTAATCAAGACGTTGCATTCTTCAGTATGCAAGTGTGGAGATAAGTCAGGATGCATCTTTAGGAGAAGGAGATGGAGCACAGCAGAGCAACCTGTGGATACAAGAGTGTCTTGAATATGTGTGACTGTACTTGTTAATGCGACCTAAAAGTATTTTCAGTAAGAACCTGCAGTGACTTTTATCAGAAAAGAATGCTGACCTTAGGCAAATTATTAAACTTGAGCCTCAGCTTCCTTATCCAATGACTTAACAGATTTGGCAGGTTATCAGGAGTGTTTAGAGAATATGCAGGTTCAGAAAAAAGCAGACTCCTCAAGAGACCCAATCCTGGAAATAGGTGCTCAAGCAGAAACAGCTTGCCTATATTAATAAGTGTGCCTTCAATTACTTTTCCCACATTCCTGAAATTGATTACAACTTATTTTGTTCCGATGAAATTCTACCAATGATGAGAACTGGCCTATTAATCCTTTTTACATGTATAAGGGTTAAAGGGCCATTAGTCAGTCTCACATCAGTGTGAATTAATGTAGACTGTTTTCTTCCTAACTAACATCTGGCTGAGAAAATCTAACTAAACCATGAAGAGAAACAAGAAGCAGATGTGAAAATTTTTTTCTCAAATTTAGCATATATACTCATAAAATGCAATTATTACAATGAAAACAAGAACCTAAAATCCCTGAAATTAAGTTTAATTGCTTCATTTCACAAAGAAGAAAATTAGCAGCCAAAGTCTAAGATAAAACGTCATTTTCAGGTTTTGCTATATTTATGCAGCACTATTCACCTATTCTTTTCTTAAACCTATTCTTTTTAACTCAGAAAAGATTACTACACATCCACCAGAATAGCTATAATCACAAAATCAGACGATACCAAGCACCGGTTAGGATGTAGAGGAAAGGGACCTTACTCATTGCACCTAGGAA